CATATAATGGGCCTACGGCACAAACATTTAAATATTTTAAAGACCATCGATGCTTGTTAAATTATAACGAAGGCTATGAGACATTGGGAGTTGAACGGAGTAGGCCTCCCTATATAGATATTAAATGTGACAAAATCCAGATAACAATAAGGACAATAGTAGTAAGGATGACGATGATGACGACGACGACGATGATGATGACTGTGTTGATGTTGATGTTGATGAGGAATATGAGGATGATGAGAGGGTGATGAGGATGACGATGAGGGTGATTAGGATGACGATGATGAGGCTGATGATGATGAGGATGATGATTATGATGAGGATGATGATGATGATGAGGATAAGGATAAACATGATGTTATTGATGATGATGACGATGATGATGATGAGCATAATAATGATTGGCACTTTTCAATTTATCTCTCCTCCCAGTGCTGCCCTCAGGGAGATGTCAGAACGAAATCGCGGGAAATACAGCATGAGGGCGCTGTAAGGCCAGTTTTTTTTTTTTTTTTTTATTCGTTCATCTGATTGCATGACAAATATTTGTTAAGTAGTAATGTTTTGGAACCTGGTATGATAAAAAATAATCGAAAGCATTGTTAAAAAAAGTCTGAAAATTATGAATAAGCCTAATTAATATTTATTTTAAAAAGGGGATCTATGGTGTTCAACCCCATACTCTCATATAAGGTCTACTACATATTTGCTTGTCGTTGTTGCATGATGCCTCATGGTACTCAAGCCTTGGATATTGCATAAATACTGAACGCGCAAACAACATAATAACATAAAATATTCTTAACATTATTGCTGAATCAAGGAGGTGTTATGTTGAACCTATATTACCAATCGTCTCTGCCTCAAACTTACAGGAACAAAAATAATAAAAAATATATTTAAAAAAACATATCAATAGTTAGATGAATACAACAACTGAACAATGTGAACGGGGATGGTTTCAAAATTAAAAAGATGATATAGAGCTAGGCCATAAATAGAATGAATATGGTGATATGGTGATCAAGCTAAAAAAAAAAAAAAAAAAAAAAAAAGCTCCGAAGATTGGTATTACTAAATAGACTGCTAAATTTGTCATGCAATTGCAGTGCCTCAGGAATGTATCCAGGATTTTTTTCCTGGTGGGTCGTGATTATATTTGTTTGGACCTTTTCAGTAGGAGACAGGAAAATTGATTACAGCGCCACCAGCTTGAAGCGGATGGCAGGCTCAGTTTCAGATATTGCTGGAATTGAGATAGATTACGTCACACAATTGGCAAGGTCTTTGGACGCATTTTGAAAAGGCCCAGAAAAAATGTCTTTGGAAAAAAATGTGCACCTTTGAATTCATGTCTGATTTGAGGCTCATGGTAGAATGAGCTCATTGTTAAACACATCTAAATTTAGGTTATTTAGATTATTTTGCAATACCTTTATTGTCAATAACATTCGTACTTAAATTTACATAATAAACAGTGAACCGAAGGACAGTGTCGATTGTCCCTCAAATAATTCAGGTCATAGAGAACTCAGCTGTGCCGCCAAGTTTTATCTCAGTACTGTAGGCCTTATATTGTTCTGATCACTGTGTTTCTTCAATAGCCGTCTTTTCAAATCATACAGTTAGCATAATAATACACCAACTTTAGTGCGCCAAGTTGTTCCCTGCACTGCGATTGGTTAATAGGCCTAGTATTTTTTACTTTACAGGAGTAATAAAAAGTTAGTTTATTAAAAGACAGTGCCTGTACAAATACATTTCGCTAATCCTACATTCGAGGCTTCAAGCGTAGGTAGGTTTTTGTGCTGTGGTCAATTAAATTGATAAAGAGTTTCACCAAATGTGACTGACGACTTAAACGATGACACGTCCACACAGAAATTTCTCGGGACGACCCAATTTTGGGGTATGACCATTGTTGTAGCCAGCTATTGGGACAGTCCCACACAATTTTTCTAATAAATCCACATTTTTATAAATGGGTCCAAATTATGCAATTTTATGCATAAAATGAGTCCAATTTTTGAAGCCTAAAATGGGCAAAATTTTAAGAAAATGGGTCCAGATGTTTCATATTTTTGCGTAAAACGGGTCATTTTTTTAATTTGTTTTGTTTTTTAACTTTACTTTAGTCTCCCTCTCACCTATTAGGAGTAACGTTCGTTCTGTTAGCTAATAAAATATTACAATAAATACCAGAGAGAACGAGCCAATTAAAACTAATAAATATTTATGGACAAAAACATATGTATTATACTCATGTGTGTCAATGCTTTTGCAAATGGTTTTACCAAGGTTTATCAGAATAGCGATGATGTACTTAGATGGTATAAAGTAGGACATAGCGTCATTGATGGTCTCTTCTACACAAAACCACACATCATCGGGGCAGTCTACTTTGGAGAAAAACGACCAGTCCACGGCAACCAAGTATGTAAGCATTCTGTCCCAATCTGCACTGGCATGCAGTCACACCTTACGCTTAGTGGATTCTATAATTGGCTTTTATTGACACCACGCAGCAGGGGCGGATTTAAGTAGGGAGGTGGGGGGGGGGCGGCCCGGTCTCGTCCCCCTCCTTTTTGGGAGGTAAAAAGAAAAAAAAAAAAAAAAAAAATGATAGCCCAGAACGCCTCAAATGTTATTTTGGGCGTCTACAACAAAAGAATTTCGCGGGGGCATGCCCCCGGGCCCCCTTGGACGGTGTTGTTTCGATCGGCCCCCCTCTTTTGGACATCTCTGGATCCGCCCCTGCGCAGTTATCAGGTGAAACTAGAGGAGCTGTTACAGTCACCACATGATTTTCCGGGGAGGTAGTCAAAAACACAAATCAAGTTTTGAACGGTCACTATCATTGCCAACTGTAATCGGGGAAGCAACAAGCTGGGTACAAATTACAGGGGTGGATCTGGTTTCAAATTTAGGAGGTACGAATGTTTTCAAAAAACCACAAAAAAAAAGAGAGAGGGGGAGGAGGGTGGTGGAAGGTCCGGGGGTGCTTCCCCGGAAAAATTTTGAGTCCTAGATTGCGGGAAATGAGAATTCTGAAGTGTCTTTATTGACTTAAGTTTTTCAAAATTAAGGTTTTATCCCCTCTTGAAAACGGTCAGGTAAATTTTCTCATTCTTATTACCATGGTGGACCTATTACAGTAAATACGCCTATTATGTGTGTACCGGTATACATAGATCCAAAGTCTCCTGGAAATCTGGACGGACTCGTGCAAGCCAACAAGAATCTCCAGGAAATCAACCCAATTCTGCAAATTCATAATTTTGCATGTTTTCACTGCTTTATCAATTTTCTCACACAAGTCAGAGCCGATGGATATCACTGTGTGCATAATTAAATTGAATGTGTTGAGAAAGCTCATTTACCAGATCAGTGGCAGATTCAAAGGGCGGGGGAAGCCTTCCCTTTCCCCTAAATATTTCAAAATTCAAAAAATGGGAAGGAAAAAAAAAGAAACTTGTATTCAAATTTTGAAAAGGCGATTTCCGGCTATCTTGAGGTGCTATAATTATAAAAAATTTTTACCATCAGCACCAACCATAGTGGGGCTGATGTGATCTAGACCCTCCATCTTTAAAAGTCCCTCTCTTCCCTCACCCTTCAAGCTGCCACCGCAGAATTCCCGGAAATTACTTCTCCCAACTTGTCCCAGCAGTACGATTGTAATACAGTCCATCATTCTTTATAAAATCTTTGAAACATTGAGATATTTTCACACTGGGTGCTGGATCTTTGAGACCCGAACGACTGTGGATCCGGTACTGAAATGTTAGCCACAGCAAATATTTAAATACAATTTTGTGAAAGGTTTTCCTACTTTTTAATAAATAAAATTTTTTTATTATTTAACGTATGTAAAAATTTTATAGGAATTGTTTCTTTTTTTTTATAACACAGGTCCTTTATTGCTGTCTCTTATACACATCTAGATGTGTATAAGAGACAGACAAGCGACTGAATAACAACTCCATTCGACTTCCAAAGTATAAATATGGCACGAGAGTCTTTAAAATGTTCAGCTTCAATGGATGGACTACCCTGGCAAAAATCAAATCGAATTTACAGACGAATTAATTTGAATTAGATGGAGTTGAATATATTGAATGTTAATTGTGTCGGAAATCCCCCTGTTGTTATCTATTTCAAGTGAATAGGCTACGTTGTGTTTGGCGTTTCACTTCGCATAATGACGGTGCAATTTTTTCAGCAAAAAAAAAAAACAAAAAAAAAACAAGCTGTAAATGGTTACTTTCAAAATATTTTCATTCTCATTACAAACATTTTGAATGAAAAATGAGATCTCTCAACGAATTGAGTCTCACGTTCGGAAAATTAAATAGAGTTTATAGCATGTTAAATATGCAACAAACTAAATCAAATTAATAACAAATCATAAAATTTCCAGTACACCATGTGTAGGTGTTTTGGGTAAAACCACTAGAGAGACAAAAAACCAGTGGTTTTTACCCCAAAAACCATATTATTAACTTATATATATTACACATGGTGTACAGGAAGTTTTATAATTTTGTTATAAATACTCGCCATGCAAGCTTTCAGGAAATATTCTACTAAATCATATTATAATTTTTAATTTGAATCCCATATATTCAGCGATGTCAGCGTTTCACGTTTAGATCTCTGGTTCTCAACCTTTTACAAAGTGTCATGGTCTTACATTGGTCTAATTAAGGCCTAATTATATATACTTAACTTGTACTCAATGATTATTCTTTTTCCTCTAAATATATTTTATCATCTATACTATAATGTTCATTATAACTTCCTAATCGGTATTTAATTATGATATCTAGATGTGACTAAAATTAATAAAATTAAGATTGTATTTCTGATATATTTGACAAGTAGGTGTCATGTACATAATCTACCAAGTCTCAACAACAGTTTTATCGGACAAAAAGTTCCCCTGGTACTCAGATGAATTCGCTGGCAACAATACACAAAAGACAGGTGTTACAGCCCCCTCGTCGGGTGTCTTGATTCCTTTGTGATCTGTCATGTCTGTATTAACATAACCAGGACAGCACTAAAATGAAAATGAAATGATATTCAACAATATTTAAGTACTACAAATAAATACCAACAATTATTATAAACCCACGCTTTAAATATTGCTCTAAGATATAAACAACCAATACGGGTGTCCCAGTAAAATCCCCTCTGATATAATACTTACACAGTTGATCAGGACATCTTGCTTTGAAGAGTCTGAATTTAGTGCTGCAGCCTGAATTTTTGTTAAGGCGATGACTCCCATTTTGGAAACATCATATGCTGCTTGTACCCAACCTTCTTCAATTAACGTCTCCTTTTCTACGCTCCTGACAAATGAAAATGTGCAATTTACTTACAGTAGTGTGTTGGTTGATTTTTTTAGCAAAAATTACTATTAATTAGGAATGGAAAAAAACTAACTCTACAAAATCAGCCATCAGTTTGCTAACGTCATCTTCCGTCTTTGCTTCTCGAAATTTCTGCCGACGTGCTGTTGACAACTTGGTGAATGACATTGTTGCAAGTAAACTTGCAACATTGCAAACCCTGTGAAGAAATAACCATTATTTGCTACTGCAGCCATGAACATATAAAATCAGGGGTGGCGCCAGGACTTGCCCGAAGAGGGGTCAGAGATCCCTGGGCGTGGAGAGGGGGGGGGGTGACGATGTTCTCGACAAGAGCAAAGTGAGCGTGTTCGGGCGTCGCTCTCCGCTCTCAAAGTATTATGAAAGTGGTCCAGGAGGCAAAGTCCCAAAAAGTTTGACAATCTAGGGGTTTCAAAAGGTTTATTTAATCGACTTTAAGAGTCTATCCTCCTAGACGAATTGTGCTTTTCCCCCAGGGAAGGGGTTTCCATGGGGTTCTCCCTGACGGGGGCCCTCGCCCCGGCCCCACTGGCACCATCCATGTCTAAAATCCACAACAGTACAATTCTTACGATACATACTTTCCCATAAATTTTTCATTTAAAACATTAAAAATATTATTTCTTTCATTTAAATATAAAAAGAGAAGAAACATTTGTGCATAATAGATGCCATGTGAGTTATAACTTATGTTTCACAAAGCTGTTTATATACATTATATAATATTAATTATATACCCTAATTCATTAACAATGAACGTTTCCGCTAAGTATCTTGGATGTTGTTGCCGAGGTCCCACAAAACGACAGTGTAAAAACGGTAAAAACATGCGCAGGAAGCACTTGCGTTTGTGGGACAACACGTGCGTTTGTACACGCGCGTATTCCTGGCACTGTTCTGACTGTTCTGATATTCATGTTAATTTCCATTGAACAACGGGACAAAATTTCCACCATTAATTAACCACATTTGTCATGTTGATGGTTTTCAGATCACTTACATCGAAAGTCATCAGACCTTTACGACGGATATTGTTAAAATTCCACAAGATGACGGTGTGAACATGTGCGTTTATGAGATACTGTATGCTCGTTATCCTTGCCCTGTTCAATTCTCTGAGTATTAGTAGACAGTTAATGTTAAGTTTTTGATACTTTGGAAAGGCTTACATGGACACTATAGTACCATCACTTTGTCCAGACACCTACGACCCTTAACTGATTTGATACAATATTTAAAAAAAAATAAAGTATAAACAAATTCCTTTTGCCGAAGTTAATCCAAATTTCTATTAACTCAAACGCTAAGGCCAGTTCTATTTGTATTCGTTTTGTTTAGTGTTTCAACCGACTAATCTGATTATTGTTATTTCATTTGTAACTTGTCAAATAGAATCAAGCTACCGCGTTCAATATCATATAAACCAAACATTTAAAAAATGTTCGAACACAACTGTTCTTGTATTTCTTTGCCAATCAATGTCTATACAATTTAGTAAACTATTGATTTAATACAGCTTCCTCAATCACATTAATTATTATCGAGGTGTAAATAAATTCTACAAACTTTAAGCATTACCTTCCGTGGGGTCTTATTATTGGAAGAAGGGCACGGCACACATTCAAAGTCCCTGTGTAGTTGGTTGCTATGATCATCTTAGCTTGAACATCGTTTGGCTTTGAAAAAAAACATAATATTGTACATATCTCAACAAAAACAGAAAAAAAACAGTGTAAAAGTTAAAGAACGCAATACACTCTTCGTAGAATTGTAGGGATTGTCTACCGGTTTGCTCAATAACTACCAGAAGGTGCCATACATTCATCCAATGAGGATGTGATTAATATTACCAAAGAACTTAAATAGCAGAAGAATGAGCTGTTCCGCGTATTTGCATTAAAATTGATGGAAATCCGCCCTCCCGTGAATGGGATGAAATTTGAATATTTTACTAAGTGGAGAAACTACAGGAAACAAGCGAATCAGAGCGGCGCCTTTATTATTACTATATAGCGCCGCCGCGTGGACGGGGTAAAATTTCCCTCCGTGTACCCCCACAATGGCTTTCGAACGGATGTTCCACTATATTGGGAAGCTGCTCTGTCTTCTGCTATTTATTATCTTTACTATTACTAGGCCTATTTTATACCAACAATTTGAAAGAGGTTGTATTATCACTGTACCTTGTACACTCCTGCATTATTGACCAGAATATCTAGGCCACCGTGAGTTGATTTCAGAAACTCCTTCAGTCTGTCGATGCTCTCCAGCGAATCAATGTCTAGTTGATGGAAGCGAGGTTGCAAACCTTCCTTTTTAAGTTCTTCTACAGCTGCTTTACCTCGTTCTTCATTTCTTGCAGTCAGGTACACGATACATTCCTTTACCTCTTTGCAAAGCGCCCTCACAATGGAAAACCCTATTCCTTTATTTCCTCCAGTGACCTAGGAATTAAATGTTTAATATTGCATGCCAAAAAAATTGCAATATTTTATTACCCATATCGTTAAGTTTTTTTATAGAAATGTGGAGCAGAGACCGAAAGAAATTACTGTATATTAGTGAGCATGTGATGAAACATTGTTATTTTACTCTTAATAATTTTCTACGCCTACAGTATGTATTTTAGTCTGTTAATACTTTGTTCAAATGTATAGATTTTGTGTTTTAGCATCGCTTTGTTTAATATCTTGTGAATGTTAGTCTTCTGGCAGTTTGAAATACAATCCTTCTGGTCGTTCTTCGTTAAACCACGCCCACCTATAACACATACACATACAAATTATGTATATGTATATATATATAT